TCAAATCATTATCATTATTCATATGTTCACCTATCACCTACTCCCATTGTATTTAATTTTTTGTTTTTGTTTTCCATTTAACTTTTTTCTTGTTCAGCGGTCGCGGGTTTGAGCCATAGAGTCAACAATTGATGTTTGTATCAAGGTAGGATAGCTTACATTACATCCCTCGAGATACTATCCTTCTCCGAATATTGCATAGACGCGAAATAGTTTGTACATCCGGCTGTCCGTTCTCCATTTGAAATCCCATATTCTCAAAATAATAGCCGAAAAAAGTATATATATTTTGTGTGTGGGTATATATATATATATATTATATATAAAAATTATATAAATTTTATATATTTTTTTGCTTATAAAATATATACAATTTCTGGCGCGGGCTAAAGGATAAAACCCCTAAAAATTGGTTATTTTATTTCTTCAAAACAAATAGAGAGAGCGGAAGATAGTTTTGGCTTCTTTTCGAAATAATTCATTTCTAATTAAAACCCAAAAACACTCCCAATTTTTTTCATTTCCTTCTGCTCTAGCGCTTACTTTTCCTCTTTGGAAAGGAAAAGACTCAAAAATTCTAAAATCTCAAGCTTAGCAGATTCAAATTTCGTAATTCAGCTGTAAGTTGCTATTCATATTTTTGTTTGAATTTTACTCTTTTTGCCTTTTATAGAATATAGTAGTTCATACATCAATATCAGGTTATGTATATCATCTAGTATTTTTTTTTCTTTTTTTTCTCTGGGTTTATATCGTTTATTCATTGTATAAGCAACAACTTTAGCTGTCGGTTTTCTGGGTATTGTTCTTCTCATTTTCTGTGAATTTTAGAGTAGTAATTTTATGGATCTTCTTCTGTTTCTTCTTTTTTTTGCGATCTCTCTACAAGAATAAAGGGAATTTCTCTCTTTTCAAGAGTAAATAAAGTTTCTTTTTTGGCGGGCTAATCCTCTGTATAATTCTGGTAGTTGATAGTATTTGTTAAATTTTTAGCTTTGTTCATCAGCTTAATTATAATATGAATATATTTAAGAAAATTAAGCAAAAAGCTTAGAAGGTTAGGCTGTAATCCTCATGTTCCTCTTTTATGTGCTTGATTTTGATTGCTTTTTCCGTTATGTGAATTGTGAGCTAAGCTTCAATTGGAAAATCAAGAACTGTTTAACTAATTTCTTGTTACACTTAAAATGATATCAAAATTATGGGCTAGATATGCTTGAATTGATTTAAAGATGGCTTCTAGTATTAGAATTCTCCCCCAAGGCTTTGGTCTAGTGGTAAGAGTGCTAACTCGTGATGTGTGGGTTAGACACACGTCACGGGTTCAAATCTGACAGTAAAATAAAGCATAATATTTAAGTGGAGAAGGGCTCGTTACCCACTGAGTTTAAAACCGTGTGCCACTAGCCCACAGAGATTTCTCGGTTGAAAAAATAAAATTGGATTAGAATGTGGTGAGTTAAACCTCAGGTCAAGGCATGGGAATTTCTCAATGCTGAACTATGCATAGAATTTCTTGGTTCAGAAATTATTAATTTTATTATATGATGTGTGTATATAGGGAGACTTATGATCATGTTGTTGTTTAGCTGCATGTTTATTTACGAGGAATTGATTAGTAGAGTAAAGATGGACCTTTCAGGGATATTGACAAGATAAACGCTCAATTGGGGTAGAGTATTACCTAGCCTTCCTTCCTCAATTAATGAGATAAATTAGCGGTTAATTCCTTTTCCTATTTGCCAGCTTTACTAAATGAGCTGAATGCTGATCACATGGTAAATTATTAAGGTTGAAGTCCTTTATTTTTCATGAAAAGCAGGTATTTAAAGGTCTAGCAGAGGGGATAACTCAAAAAACTTAAGGCAGAAGCCATCAGCTTGAAAGAACGAACTACACATGGAAAAGAGTAAGCACTAGTCTACCTATATATAAATCGCTATCTCATTATTCAGATTTCAGACAGAGTTTTTAATGCGATTACAATGATTGTCGTATATGTTTGTTTCATCACTCATTACTGAGTGATGAAATGTTCCTGGATTGAATTTTGTACAGTTGTTTGCAATTTCATGATTGTTTTTAGGATATGTACGTTTTTAGGAAAGTTTTGTATTTACCCTTCAAATTCTTGTGAACATAGAATTTCACGGTGAAGGAAATTTTGTAGTCATAATTAATTGGACATCTGGGTCTGGCAGGTGCTACTCTTGAAAGTGGAGAGGGCAGAAATAGCGTTGAACTCGTGAAATCAGTCTCTGACAAACAGCTTGACCTTTTGAGGCCATCAGCTCGGTATTATTCAGTATCTAAAGGTAACCATTTTCTATACCTTTCTCGGCCTTTTGGTTAAGATCAAGTGTAGTATCTGTTTTATCGGTTAAAGGTAACCATTTTCTTTACCTTTTGGGATACCATGACTATTTTAGCTTCTTTTATCCAAGAGGCAGCATTTGCGTTTAGCTCACAGATTGAGTGCTCATTTTCGAAATGTATGACCCGTATGTTAGGATCATTTTCTTATAAATTTTTGCCATGGAGTGAAACTTATTTATTCTAGATTCGGAAATAAGAACAACATAAAGGTATTGATGCTGTTTTCTCACACTCCCCAGCAAATAAATGCGGAAATGCTTTAGGACATTTTGATGGACATTAGAATACATCTTAATCTTTTCTTATCACAAGTTTTATCTTCATTCAGTTACTTCTTAGAGACCTTTTATGTTTCTTTCTTAGTGTGAGGATAAAATATTTTGATACATGTTTCATAAGAAGACTATTCTGATACATGTTTTCCCCTGCTTAAGTTTTTAAGTTTTTTGTTCCGTCTCTCTCTCTCTCTCTCTCTCTCTCTATGAGTGTGTGTTTGCGCGTCCATTAGTATTGTTCATAGGTTTACTTTCCCATTTGTTTGGGTTGTGGGACGGAGTAGAATCTTTTCCAACTGTCCTTAATTCCGGGGTATCTGCTGTAAACAATGAAGGCATCTATTATTGTAAATTCCCTTCAATTTTTATTCAGTCTTCGTTACATCTACCAATTATCTGTCTACACTGGTCACAAAAAGATGAAGTGAGAAAAGCAAACCGAAATTCTCAGTTGGATACTTGTGATTATAGGACAAAGAGGTGATGCAGAAGATCGTGATAAGGGAAAGTATACGTTGATTAGAGATGTAGAGGACCTTCAAACAGGGTTCTACGATAAACCTCTTCCTTGCTTTGGTTGTGGAGTCGGATGGTTTTCGTAAGTACTGTTATACGTCTCGTTTACTATCTCTTAATCTCTCTCCTCTTCTTCCTTTAGATCTGATTGCTTATAATTATTTACCAATAGATTTCTACTGGGATTTCTATGCCCGTTGTTGTGGTATTATGCTACAATACTGTATTTCGGGAACTACTACCGCAAGGATCCTAGAGAACGTGCCGGACTTGCTGCATCTGCTATTGCTGTAAGTTGATTCCTACCCCCTACCCTCCCCCTTGCTAAAACGTCAAAACAATGGATCAATCAAAAGAGGGGAAAAGGAAACACATTACTTTGCATTTCTCTACCTTTCTGGTTTTCTGTGACGGACGGGGAGCCTTGGCGTAACTGGTAAAGTTACTGTCTGGTCATGTGTTCGAGCCGTGGAAACAGCTCTTGCAAAAGTAGGGTAAGACTGCGTACAATAGACCCTTGTGGTCCGGCCGTTCCCGGGACCCCGCACATAGCAGGAGCTTAGTGCACCGGGCTGCCATTTTTCTAGTTTTCTATGGCAATTCAAAAGTTGTTTGCTTCTTTTTATGTTGTTTAACAGTGTGAACAGTCCTAACAGCGTTTAGAATTTACACTCTTATGCAGGCAATGGCGTGTTCTCTCGTGTTGATAATAATCATAGCAGTAAAACTCTTCTTGTAGCTTCCATTATGCTAGCTTCATACGAGCCGTATCTATTGTGACCAAGATGTCAGAATTGTGCTGTTGCTTGTTTTGTAGTCAAGTGAAAAGACACATCTCGAGTCTAAATTCTCCAATTGTAAATGCTCTTACGAAGAAAAAACATCTTATACAGAACTATACACGTGAAAATGTATACCTGCTTAGGTATTCCATCAAGATTATTATTGAAATTCCTCTTGTTTGTATACATGTTTTTCCATGTTAAAAGTGCAATAATAATACGATGGATTTATGTGCAGGACAAGTTATACAGACTTCTAATTGTGTCCATTTTTCAGAAAAGAAAGGTTATCCATATTGCCTGTGTCTCATCCATTAGAGCCTCTAAATTGGCTCTAAATTGCTTCCAATATGTTACAATGTTTATATTTTGTTTCACCAAGTTTTAAGATCTGGCTCTTTTAGGTTTTATATAAGCAGTTTATGTTTAGTCAATCATTTCAAAAGTGAGTTTCAATGTCAGTTTATGACAAATGGACACTTAAAAGATCTCTTTTTATAAAAATAGTATTCTTTGAATTGATATTTTTATTATGAGCGATATTAATGAAGTTTTTAATTTCATTTTATTAAGATGTTAAAGAATAACAAAATAGAGGTCCCGATTACAAAACTTTGGCCATGGATGTGTTGTCCATAATGCAAGAGTTTAATCTTGTCCACACTTGAGAATGGCTCCTGTAAATATATAACTTTTTGTAATGGGATTTTGTCCAGAAGAGTTTACAGCAGCTACACAGAAGTGGTACTTAAATTTTCAGAAACTTGACCAAATACTTTAAGTTTAACGCGAGTACTTTGAAGGATAACTTGTAATTTCCAATAACTTCACCAAACATGCCAAGATCTTTGGCAAGTACTTTGAAAGATAACTTGTAATTTCTCAAGAACTTCCCCAAACATGCTAAGATCTTTGGCAATTAGTAGCAGCTAATTGTGCAATATAGAACATGAGAACAATGATGATAAGAACTTCATGAGAACGATGATGACAAAAGCATAACGATCCTCCTGAGAGTGAACGCGCAAATTTGGCTGATAAGTCAACAAACTTTAAAAAAAAAAGTCCCTCTCGCATAAAAATCCTCAACAGTTTTCTTACAAGATATAAAGTATCTATTCAATCTATAAAACTTCAATAGCATGGACAAAACTTGGGAATAGATTCCCTTCAAATTGAGGTCGTGAGGTCGATGGTATGGATCACAGGTGAAGCTTGTTTTATAGCTTTGGCTCTAGAATGTTTTTTTTTCCGCCAATAAATTGCCTAAACAATCATTGTAAAAATAATAATGCTTCCAAAATGAAATTCTCAGGAACTTTTCGCTGCCAGTCGCACATATTTGCCATCAACAACGAACTTAGAACTTGAATTTATCTGCAGAAAATAGGAACAAAAAATCGTGTCAGCGCCCTTACGTGTTTGGTTAAAGAATCAGTCATGAAGAAACTAGCATAGATGCGGTTTGATTGGACTGGCTGACCTTATGCTCAATTGTGTCGCTGACTTGGCTTTCGTCTTTTACCATGCCAGACTCATTCATAGACTTCAGAACAACCTTCTTAAGTTTCTTCAACTTCAGAACACCATCAGAATTCTGTCCCGAGTGCAACAAAAGAGTAAACAGAGATACCAGACAATGCATACGATCATAAAAATACTCTAAGATGTGACACATAAAGACTCTTGTTTCAAAGAGGAAGAAATGCTCATGAAATATATATGGAAAAAAAGAGTTGCAAACTAATGATGAGATGGAAAGAACACATACAGATTTCAAAGCTGATGTGATCAGTTTCTTCCACTTTATCTTCTTCTTGCTGTCGTTTCCATTAGAACCATCCACGACAGCTTCATCTTCTTTCACTGTTTCTTTTTTGGCTTTCTTCTTACGCTTAGTTTCCTGTTCCTTTTCAACCTGGATTACTTCACCATTATCTAATTCACCAGATGGCTTGGCGTCACCATTTTCAGATTCCCTGTCTTTTCTTTTCTTCTTTGAGTGAGTATTACCATTTTCTGCTTCTTTCAAGTTTTTCTCCTTCAATACCTCACCAGTTTTGTTCTCAGGAATCTCATTCTTATGATCGTTGTCATTCGAGGCCTCCACACCATTGTCAGTTGGTTCAGTCTGCTTAGGCTGCTGCTTAGCATGGAAAGCTCGTGCCTTTGCTCTGTGCTTCTTACCATCAGCATGGAGAAGTAGTGTCTGCTTACTAGTTGCATTGGTATTACACAAACTGCAGATACATCACTTCTAGGTCAAATAAGTATGAATTATATTAACACAGAAAAAGGACATGGCAGAAAAGATGAATTATAAAGCTTTAAATGGATGAGAGAATAAGACACAGAAGTCCACTCTGACACACAAACTCTTGAGCTACAAATAATATTCCCGCCTTGCAGCAACAGCAAGACAAAAACATCTAACTGGACCAAAGGTAATACTGATTTGTTTCAATAAAAATGTCATCTCATTACTAGCAAATATCCAAAACTTTTTCGTCCAATTCTTAGAAAGCTAATAAAAAACAAGAAGAGAAAGAGAAAAAAAATTCAACAGACCTACAAAACCAAGGCGGACGGTCTGACAATCCAACATTGATATCTACATCAGGCTTCTGCTTTGAATCATTGCTGGCTTTGGCAGGAGTTCCATTTGAAGCTTTTCCTTGGCCCTTCGGCCCGTATTTCTCCTGAAGGACACACAGAGAATAATTAGAAAACACAAAATCTGGATATCAAAACACCACTCAATTAGGACCCACCAGTTTGGGAAGCGTATACGTCTATACGATATGAAAGTAAATACTTGCAACATAAAGTAGCATGATGAAGAAACGAAGAAGTATTTTTTGTCTCAATGCAGATTAGGATCCCATTTGGGAGTGCATTTTTTTCGAGAAACAAGTATTTTAGCACGAAAAGTACTTTTCAAGCATTTAGTAAGTTTTCAAAATGACTTCTGGCAAAAGCTCAAGTTTGGAGATTTAGTAACAGATTTTTGGGCATAAGATTCAGACATTATTTCAAGTAACTATTTGTTCTCATAAAATTGGATTGTATCATTCCATTTGAAGTTAATTTTGTAAATGGCACAATTGGTAATACTCTTAATGTTGTCCTTATAAGGGCCACAGGAAAACCTGCTTCAACAGTCAAGACTCGTCATACTCCAAAATAGACCTATCACTAAGTTCTGAATAGAGGAAAATATTTTACCTCGGAAAATGTATTACATTGTGATATTTGGAAAGAAAATGACTTCTGCCTACAAATAAGGAAGTCATGGTTTCCCTTTTGGTGGAACTTTTTTTCTTTGGATAATATCTTCCGTTAACCAATCATTGGAAAATGATTTCATTACTGAGAAATAGAAAAATATTTTTTCAGTACCACACACGAGAAAATAATTTCTTCACCCAGAAATAGGAAGATATTACTTGCAATATCGAACACACCCAAATGAAATTATACATAAAGCTTTTAGAAACCAAAAATCGAACCTACACAAAGTTTTCGCAATAGAAAGTGAGAATGTTAGCGAGGTACTTATTAGTCATTTTGTCGATTAAGGACACAGTTAGTAACTTCGAAAAATAAGGATGGACTAAGGGCCATGATCTCACATCTCAGTGACATTTGATAACAGTGGATAGAGAACTTACTGCTTCACAAGTTAGTTAACCAGAACGGCAATTGCAATGAAGTGTTAAAAGGAAATGTTAGTGTATGTGTGTAAGTGTGTGTATACGTCATTCCTGTAACTGAAAATTTTCCAGATACATATATTTATAGCACTGAGCTGAAGCTGAAGCATCAGAATTTTGCTGGGGCTAGTTGCGAAAAAAAAAAACTTAACTCGAGATATTTTACAAGTAATGGCACAATTAACTTGTTGAAATAGAAAACTAAGGTCATAAATTGCATTGCTCAGGTAAAATTCAAAAAACAATACCAGAACATTATCCAAACGGTGAAAATATGTAAAACATAAAAAGATAGAGACTATACCGCTTCAGTAATGCATTGGGTGTGACTTTCCACTGTTTGGCGACTAAAAATCTCTCCACAGTCAATGCAAGATAGCTAGAACAACAAATAAAAGCAATAAGTGAACAAATTATACTTAAATAAATGACATCCAAAATCTAAGTGAAGAAAAAATAAACAAAAAATGAAAAAAAAAAACGAAATCTAAAACCTTATAAGCAGAACAAATTCGGAAATGGCCGGGCAATTTAGGTTTCTTAAGGTTATCTCCACAGTCTTCACACTGAAACCAAACCATCTTTTCCCTCTCTTTCTCTCCTTCTCTTTATGTTAGGCGATGGAGAGAAAGTTCTAGAAACTTTGAGGAGCTATACGAAGCCTGCAACAATAAATTATTTTAACGAATTTAGGAAGTGAAAAAGAAGAAGGGGTTTTAGGGTTTAGGGATTGAGAGAAAAACAAAAGTTGATTATGGTGTTAAATGGAAAAATCGAAATGAACACGGCGGAAAAGGTGATGTCGTGGGCCACTTTTTCTGTAGAAACTCATGGGCCCAAATATTACAGGCCCAAATTACTTTGGACCAAACTGAATCCATAACTTAGAGCCCAAAAGCTAAGTTGGCTGATTGCAGGTCCAAATATTACAGGTCTAAATTCTTTTTTGAAACGGCTGGATGTGCGAAAAAAGTCTCACATGATAGATAAAAATATTGGGAGTATAAGGTGTATGAATCTCTTAATTGTGTGAGGCCTTTTGGGAAAAATCATGCAGGCTTGGCCCAAAACGGACAATATCACACTATGTTAAGAGTATCTTTGGGCCGGTTTAGCCTAACAATTAGTATCATAGCTCAGGTTCGAAGGTACGAGTATGGTAATTGTGAGCACGTAATTTTTGCCTCACCAAAAATACTCCCACAAAATCAATAATTAGATTTTTTCTTAATTGTTTTTAATTTTTTTTTATTTATAGATTTTTAGGAATTTCTGGTAATTATTTGCATTTAGTTGCATTTTTTATGTATTTTTAACATTTTTCAAATACCATATTAAAATACCAAAAAATGTTCAAACCATCATTACATAGCAATTATAGGTCTTAATTGCATTTAAAATCAAATTGCATAAGTTGAATGCATTATTAAAACAAAAGACACAAAAATGATGTTCATTTTTATATTTTTAGCTTTTAGTGTTAAATTAGTAACTTTCTTTCATTAATTTAAGATTAATTAATTATGTAAATAGATAATTAGTTTAATTTTACAAGTTAGATTGATTCAAGACTTAATTTAGGATTTTAATTAATTTAATTAGAATTTAAAAGCAAAGAAAAGAAAAGAAAACAAAGAAAAGGAATTAAAGAATTGGTTGGGTCTTGTTCAAAATCGGGCCAAAGACTACATTGGCCCAAAAACTTAACCAACCCCCAGCCCAGAAACCAAACCCAGTCGATCCAACCCCTAATAAATGAAACGACACTTTTTCATCTTTTTTAATCCCAGCCGTTGGATCATTTTGATCTGACGGCTCGCAACTCACCACCAAATCCCTTATAAGTGTCCTAACCAACCCCCTACCCCAAGTCATCTCTTACAGACCACCCCTCACTATCTCTATAACCTCAGCCGTCTGCTACCGCCGAAAATCGCCCATAGAGGCGGCGCCACCCCAAACACACCCAAAATCACACCCTATACTCCTTATCCTCCCATCTCCTCAAACCCCATAACCATTTTTCCAAAATCCCCACCAAACTCGGCCAATTTCAGATCCACAAGAAAACCTAATCTTTTCCTCTTTTGATTTCATTAGCAATGCCAACTCGATTTGATCTAGAACTTACGTTAATCGATTGCTCTTGACAAGAGCAATCGATTGACTTTAATTTTAGCTCATTTCGAACACACCGGATTCCGGCTAATCCGTCACTGGCCGGCCGAGCTTCATCAAAAATTATTTTAATGGGCATTGTTTGCCTTTCAATAGGTATACATTCACCCTCCTCTGTCATACCCTCATTTTGTTTGTTTTGATTTTTTGTTCTGCCTCGATTTTGATTGTAGTCATTTCTGTCTGTTTGTTTTAGTGTTGATTAAGAGTAGATTGGTTCTTAGTTAATTACAACTTTTGCATTTGTTAGTTTGATAATTGTTTAGCTTTATGCTTAGAAGCAATAGTCAGAATACATGATTAAGTAGTTCAGTTAGTCTAAATTGCATAATATTAGGTTAATTAATTTTGGATAGTAAAAAAAAATTATTTGTTAAAGTACAGATTAGTTTGTTTATGGCGAAAGCCATCGACGCCGACAAGTCGACCCAACTCGACTATGACGGCAAGTAACTCGACGACAGTCGAAGTTACGTACGTGGCTAAGGTCATAAACGATATTATGGCTAAGGCCATCGACATCGATAAGTCGACCCAGCTCGACTACGACGGCAAGTAACTCGACGACAGTCGAAGTTACATACATGGCTAAGGCCATCAACGATATAATGGCTAAGGCCATCGACGCCGATAAGTCGACCCAGCTCGACTATGACGGCAAGTAACTCGACGACAGTCGAAGTTGCACACACGGCTAAGGCCATCAACAATATTAAGGCCGAAAATAAAAGGTACAAAAAGAAAAGAATTACAGCAAAAGTATAACTTCCATTATCATCCAAAAATACATGTACAAAAGGACCCATTTACGTCTCCAAATACAGCAAAACAAAATGAATACAAGTCCTAAGGGGCTTCGCCATTCTGTTCACCGTCCCCCATCGGACCGTCATCTCGTCCACCGCCGTCCTCGGCCTGATAGGTCGCAGAGATCCAAGAGCCGGATTCTAGACGGTTGACGTCTTCGGAGTTATAGCCCGCCCGGTCTGGGGAATCAGAACTATACCCACAAGTTTCACGGGCGACACGGGCTATGCGCTGTTGCTCCTGCACCTCCGACTCAGTGGCTCGACCCGCAGCTAAGAACTCCTCGAATACGACCAATCTGGCCTCGGCGTACACCCACATATCATGCGCCTCACGATGCGCATCCTCGTCAGGCCTTGGTGCAGCAGTCTGCTTAAGGACTTCAACCTCAGCCGCCTTGGCATCGAGTTCGGTGGTCAAAGCGGCAACCTTGATCCGCAAATCAGCAGCTTCCGCCGCTACCCCACGGCCAACCTCCAGCTCTTCTTCCTTAGACTGAAGAAGAGTCTCCAGCTCAACGTTCCGAGCCAGAGCGGTCATCAGCTGCTCGTCGATCTGCTCCAGCTCGGCCACCCTCCGTTTCAGCTGGGCCTCCGACTGCTCCAAACCCTCACGGAAAACCCGAAATTCCAGGTCCTGCTTGAGTAGGTCCGCCAACGCCTGATGCTTGACGCGGCACCGCCGATATTTCTTTACCACCTTGTTAAAGGTGGCTGCCTTCCTTTGCGCCCGCCGCCCCCTCTCTACCTCCAAGATGAGAGTCTAAAGAAGAGAAAAATGAGGAAAGGCAAGTCAGTATGCATCAAAATTTACTTTACGATACATGAAGAAAATCGAAAAATACCTGCAAGGCTGCGCCGGCAACCCTCCGGGATAGTTCCCCGTCGCTAACACCTTTTAACATTTCACGCTCAGCGGCCGCACATAGCAGGGTCATATTCGCTGCGGCCTGCTCGCTGTGTTGCAACAGGTTATACCCTCCTAGGATCAGAATTCGGCGGTTGGATCTACCTGCCGTCATCCCCACACGGGACGAACCCCGCGTTAACGCATCTGCGTCCGCATGGGCAGCCTCAGGGCCCCCCTCTCGGGACCGTCGCCCGCTTCTCCAACAGAAGCAGACGAGCCGCTCTCCGGAATACGTGCTAGGCTGGCATCGGTAACCGCCCTCCCTTGGGGAGCCGACCTCCCGGAACGGATGGCATCTGCCATAAAAACTGGCCTTGACTCCCAACGGGGCTCGCTCGGCCCCTCGTCTTCTGTGGCTATCCCCTTGCCAGTTATCAACCGGCGTCTTTTCCTCTCCGACGGCTCCTCGCCCTCAGAAGTCTCCTCCGCAGGCTGCGGGGATGGCATTGAAGGAGTCGCTTCACTTGTGGAGACCGCTACGGGCAACGGTTGAGGAACCTCCGGGGCGCCATCACTGGGCGAGCCACAGGGTATGTATCTGTCTTCAGAGTCAGTCCCCGCCCCAGGCGAGGTAACAACGCTCTTCTTCTTCTTCTTAGGGATGCTCCGACCTGCCAACACGAATAAGTCAGGTAACAAGAACGTAGGAAACTTCCAAACCGTAGCCAAAGAATTACCTGACGGGCCGTACTGTTGAAGAAAGGCAGCCCAGGTACGGCATTCCTCCGCGTAAGGTATTATTCTTTCTACCCATGATTTTATGTCATCAGTAAACTGGGGTGGGGAAGCCCTCGCTGCGAATAAAAAGTGGGGAAAAGCAAAGAAATCACAATGGCCGTATGGTCAAAAGCGCAAGCAGTCCTGAATTCTACAAGTAGAAATACTTATGTTCTGGATTCCATCTTTCCGGGAACCCTTCGGGATTCGACACCAGGTGCTCCGTCCTGATGTAGAAATATTTACGCCAAAAGTGGCGGTTGGTCTTGTCATCGGCTTTAACAACCAAGCCCCTTGTACCACGACTTTTTAACTGCAGCATGGTACCCCTCAAGTAACCAGGGCTAAATAACTGTAAGAGGTGGTGGACCGAGACGCTGCACTCAGCCCTGGCCGCATAAGTGGTCATAATACGGCACACCTTCAAGGTGTAAGCAGTGAGCTGAGCCGGACGCACATTGTAAAAACGGCAAAGCTCTTCCATCAGAGGGTAGATTGGAAGATTGTAACCGATCGAGAACGGGTACTCATAGAATGAGCGGTACTTAGGCCAGTGTACATTGGCATAGTCCGTCCCGGCCGGAACCATTTCCACGTGGTCCGGAATATGGTGCGTCTCTCGAAGATCATCTAAGTGGGATTGTAATAAAACGCTGTGCTCCCAGGGAAGGTCTGGGCTTTTAGTTGGAAAATCCCTGCGAACATGCATCTCCTTCGGAAGGACGTTGTCTACACTGAGAGGAACAAGGGCCTTCTCTGCCTTTTCCCCTTCACCACCGGAAGTTGGCGGAACCCTAGACGGGGCATTATCTTTGGCCTTTTTACTACTCTGTCCATGTTTTGTCATGTTATCCTACGTAAGAAACGAAGCACCGGCGATAGGAAGTGTGGTTTCAACAGAAGTAGGAGAGTCCCTCACGAAATAACGGTTACAAGAAAGAAAGACAAAGGAGTAAATCAGAAAATGCTTTCCGAAGGTTTGAAAGTTGAATCGAATCGAACCTCTCTCCTATTTATAGGGATAAGTTGCGCAGAAATCGAAGAGTCATGATTCAAAACGTGCGCGGGAAAACAAAATGTCACATCATCCTCTGAACCGCCTCGGGGGCAAATATAATAATGGCGCATACAGGCGATGACGTCATTCCAAAAAGAAAGCCA